GGGTGAGGGGTGTGGTTGGGTTCCTTAAATGAGTGATTTAGGGCACTGATTAAAGGGCTATGCAGAACCAGAAATCCTGGTAGCATGCGTTCCATGTATAAATTCACCAGATACCATTGAACAACCGCCCCGCCCCCTCGGAGCTAGCCATATTCTCCCTGGCATGTGCAGCCAACATGTCAGTGTAGTTAATCCTCAGGCTATCTTGCAGGAGGATTTGCGGTCTGCACCTTTTACAGATGAGGAAACAATCCAGGAAAACTAAAGTAGCATCTTGGTCAAAGCCACACCCAACAACTGGGCGTCTGGGTCCATTACAGCAGTGACTGGGTCTTAAGCATCTTTGCTGTATTAGTATTCTGCTTTTAGTAGTAGGCTTCCTCAGCAGGCTTCAGTTGTCACTGAGATGTTTTACTCCCTGCAAAGCAAGCCTGCCAAAAAGAGAAGTGAGTTGACACTATTGATTGAGATTAATACAACTGACAATTCAGGACACACACTCCCACCAGCAAAATAATAATAATAGTATGTAATTGTTAGCATGATACAGAAACCTCAGTGTGGTTAAATTTACTCATTTATGGAAAAGGGTTACTATCTGATCTAAGGTTGCTGTAAAGATTAAATGAAGTGATGCTGCTAATAAGAATACTGACAGTTTGTTATGCCTGTACATGCCAGGCACTGTGCTAAGCTCTTCACATTTGTTTAATCCTTAGGACCCCTATGGGGTAGATACTAAAGTGATCCCTATTTTACAGTTGAGGAAAGAGCTTGGATAACTTGCCCAGGGTCACTCAGCTGAAACCAGATTCCACCTGGTTCCAGACTTGATCCTAGCCACACTACCATTACTGTTCCTGGAACTGCTCTGAGCCACACCACCATATTTTCCCTTGAATATAAAGCTGTCACCTCCCCCCCCAAAATACTAGTTTTCCTTTTGTCTGTGAATTCAGAATACATTTACTAATGATAGGCACTAAAGGACTACAAGAAAAATAAATCTATTGTTTGTCATTGCTTTCAACTTATAAATTTCTTTCCTAGCTCCATGTCAATTGCTGCAAGCTTAGTAAGTGAAGACACAAAGACCAAGTTTTTGAACAAAATGGGCCAGTTGACAACTTCCGGTGCCATGCTGGCCAATGTGTTTCAGAGAAAGAAGTGAAAGCAGGCGGGAAGCCCCCCCGTGAACACTAAGGTGGACCTCAAGCAGACTGGCTCCTTGTACTTGAAGTACTTGCCTTCTTCATTGACTGTTTTATGTCCGCGCATTATAATTTGATCCTAATCTCCAAAGACATTTGCACTGCTATTGATTATTGCTGTATATGTGTTCATTTGGGTTATAACTGTGGTGTTAAATTGAGTTCATGGTCTGTACCAAATCCCTCTTCTGTGTTTTTGTCTTTCTGAATAATTTTTTATATATATATAAATATATATGTATAGTGAAGAGTTTTTTGTTTTGTTTTTGTTTATTAATTTTTGGGGGTGGGCTATTAGCAAATATCTGTATTATACACTGAGCTATTATGATGGTACTTAAAATAATGTAAATTTGAAGTCATTGTTATAAAGTAATAAAAGTGGAGATTCCTTAAGTATTTAAATTATGAAAGAATAATGCTGACTTTTTATTGTTTCTTAACTGACTAGAAAGAGCCACCAGCATTACTCCGTGCCTTTTGGACTTTGGTGTGTGTGTTCTGTAGGAATTGTGTGCATTCCGTTCACAGTGCTCATTGATGACGCAGTGATGAATCTGCGTACCAACCCGACAGCCAGTCAACGATGAAGAAATAGTCGACATCTCAGAGTGCTGGTGAACATTCTTGAAGTGCTGTTTGGACCTCCCCAGCCCTTGCCTGCCTGTCATGGACTTCGAGGGGAAAGAGCACAGAGCCTGGGGAGTGGTGACCAAGGTGAACCTTTCCATCTGCTCAAGAAAAGGTGTCCTTGTGAATTAGTCATTATGAAAGGTTCCCCATAGTAAAATGCAGAAGAGAATATGGTTTGGACCTGACATTTAGCATTTACTTAGTCAATTATTTTATCTCAAGATGTCATTTTAATGATTTTCATTCAGATACTAGCTTTTTGTTCTGTGGATTACAGCGCAGCAGTGAAAAGGGAAGGACATTGGAAGTTGCTTTTTTCCTCTCAATGAAAATGGCACTGGCTAGAAAATTAGTGGTTAGTTCCCACATCACCCATGAAACGTTGGAACTATTACTGTGTGTGATCTGTATTATGTAGTCTTAAGTGTGTATACAAATCGCACTGACATTTGGCCCCTGTCTATATCACTCTACAGGTTGAAGCTGAAAAGAGTGGTCTTGGAAACAGAAACAACAGGTGGGGTTGGTCTGAGGGTTTAATGCGAAGCCTTTTTGAGAGTTAGGAATGTTTTGATAGGGATTCTCGGTGAGCACAGTGGATGCACAAAGTTGACTTCACTCTTTGTTGAATCCACTTGAACCATAACTGAATGACATTCACGTCCTAGGAAAACTAGCTTACCCCACATTGAAGCTGATAAATCATCCCTTACCCCCCTCCTGGGCAAAGCCATTTAAAAAGTTCATTCTGAAATGATTTCTTTCACTTCCAGGGAAGTAGCTGTTGACATACTGGTCTTTCTGAAAATCTGTTGGGTTCTAGGCATTCCTGAGAAATTGAAAGTGGCTACCTTTCATGTCAAAATGTTGATCTATTATAAATAAAATGTTTTGCATACTTTTGTTTTTTTTGGGTTTTTTGCTGTGTGTTGTATTTTCATTTTGAAACACTATCCTATATGCAGACAAAAGAAATGAGAAAGCATATATTCACAAAACCGCTCATATTTCAGGTTTATAATCTGTATGAATGACTTGATTTACTAAAAAGATTGTTTTTCTATAAAATTAATACATTGCAGAGGTCACTTAAAGAAAAAGTTGTAAACTCTGATTTGCCTTGAACTTTGCTAGCATATGGAGCTCTGATGGCTCTTGTCAGGTAAGCGTTGAACTGTTAACCTCAAGGTCCGTGGTTCAAACCTATCAGCAGTTCCAAAGGAGAAAGATGCGTCATCTGCTCCCATAAAGATTTGCAGCTTCAGAAACCCTATCTCCATAGGATCACTGTGAGTTGGAATCAGTTGGGTGCCAGTGGGTATGCTATGGTTTCGGGTTATACTGCAATAACTATGTTACTAGAAGAATAGATGCAATAAATTTGTATTGTAATTATTAAAAAGACAACAGCAAACACAATACAGATTTCAAACGAACCTTTTTTATTATACTCTTAGCTATCATAATATTGCTAAAATTTCACATTTAATAGTGTTGGCTTTTATAGTAAAATATGCACTTTTTAAGAAGAACAAGAGAGTCACTAACCACTGAAGCCGAGTGTGTTCTTATAAAACAGGCCATGAAACCCCCATTCAAAGTCCCTTTACTCAGGATCAAACAGGTTCTACCATTGGCCAATGAGTTACATTTCTACGCCATGTGCTGAATTAGAGCCTTCTTTTGAAGTATACGGGAGCATTCTGGATGCATAGGAATCACCTGGGGATCTTGTTAAACGGTAGCTTCTGATTCAGTGTGCCTGGAGTGGGAATGCAATTTCTCAGCAAAGGGTCAAACCAGAATGAAACAAGTCAAAACCCTGCTTTTTTGCCTAGAGGAAGAACAAAAAAAGAAAGGACAATTTTTTAAAATCATTTTATTGGGGGCTCATACTACTCATCACAATCCATCCATAATTGTGTGTTAAGCACTTTGTACGTTTGTTGCCACCATCATTCTCAAAACAGTTGCTTTCTACTTGAGCCCTTGGTATCAGCTCATTTTTCCCCTCCTTCCCCCCCTTGATCATTTATAAATTATTATTTTGTCATATTGTACATTGTCCGACATCTCCCTTCACCCACTTTTCTGTTGTCCATCCCCCAGAGAGGAGCTTATCTATAGATCCTTATAATTGGTTCCCCATTTCCACCCCACCCTCCCGGTATTACCACTAGTCCTGAAGAGATCATCTGTCCTGGATTCCCTGTGTTTCCAATTCCTATCTGTACCAGTGTACATCCTCTGGTCTAGCCGGAAATTTTAAGTATCCAACTCATCAAAAAGGTACAATTGCAAAGCAATGAAAAGTGATTAAAATCATGCCATTGCTAAATGAAGCCAAAGGTTACAATTTTTCAAAAATCAGAAGTACTACCATTGCCAATTACACTGGATTCTTGTAAGCACAATATTGATGGTTAACAAGTCCATGAGGAGCTTCATAAAAAAATGTTTATGGGAAATGGAATTAAAGATGGGATTTTCCCTGCACATTTCAAAGCCCCCTCAAGACCTGTGATCTTGATTTTCATTTTTTTGTTTCAGTCACCCCCTGATGTTTGCAAAACATTAAATTGACTTACACTGAATGAAACTGAGAATGATTTAAGTCAAGCCATCATCATCAATTCCCTTTGTACTGTGTCAGCAGCTCTACTCAGCTCTGCTGTCACAACAAACAGTAAAGCGGCAAACAAAATGGGGACACACACACACACCATTTGCAGCATAAATCATCTACATTAAACCATTTCTACATAGATCATCTTTATAGGATTGTGTATTGTGTTACGGTTCACTAGAGAAACTGACTGAGAACACTTATGATTATAAATGTATACCATATATACTCGAGTATAAGTTGACTGGAACATCAGCCGGAGCACCTAATTTTACCACAAAAACTACATTAAAAATGCAGAAAAACTCAGCTTATACATGAGTATATACACTGTGTGTAGGTTCATACAGCGAGATGGAATATAACAGCTAATTAGTCCACACAGCTGTACAGAAGACTCAGTTCAACTCACTTTCATGGAACAATTAATATACTGGAAGTCCTTCAACTCCAGATCCAAGGTCAAGGAAGCAGACAGTGAAGTACTCCCTTGGACAAGGCAGGCAGAGTCTGCCTGCAGGCAGCAAACAGCAGGGTGGGTCAGCTTATCAAAGCAGGCCTAGATGAGATAAGGAACTCAAGTAATGCAAGGTGACAGGATCCACCAGCCTCAAGCGATATATGCACGAGCAGTGTGGTGAAGCAGGTCTCAAAGGAGCCTCAAGCTCTAGCAACAGGATCAATGGATTGACTCGGCCCACAGGTAGTGTAGCACACAGGTTGAGGCAGAGGACTAGCTAAAGCAGCAGCACACTGGCCTGATCACCAGAGAGCATGAGAGACCTTGCAGAGCTGTTTATCTCTGCCCTCCAATCAAACTTCAACCTGATTAATTCCACATCTTCCTATTGGCCAGGTTGGCACAATAAACCCAACTCTCATCTATATAATAGTATTTGCCTCAATTGCATTGAACTCTTGCACTTATCCCAATATCTTCCCCTCCATCATTTGCCAACCTCCCTCTTGTATAGTGCTTTCACCCAAGTTAACACTTTTATGTCTACTCTCAATAGGAAGTGGCCATCCATATCCCCCAGAGTAATCCTCAAAGAATGTTCTTTTTAGCGTGGAAGCTTTTCACGTTTTACAATAGTAAGCTCATAAAATGTTTGCCCTTTTGTGGTTGACTAATTTCACTCAGCATCAAGTTCACTATATGCCAAGAAATTTGGAAAATAGCTACTTGGTTAACTGATTGGAAGAGATCCATATTTGTACCCATGGCAAAGACAGGTTGACCCAACAGAATGTGCAAATAATACAATATTATTAATACCACATGCAAGTAAAATTTTGCCAAAGGTCATCCAACAATGATTGCAAGGTGGTACATTGACAAGGAGCTGCCAGTGGTTTAGAACAGATTTATAAGAGGATGTGGAACAAGGGATAACACGGCTGAGTCAGTTGGGTCTTGGCTTAAACAGAATACCAGAAAGATGTTTACTTGTGTTTTATTGGCTAGGCAAAGGCATTGAACTATGTGGATCTATAACAAACTGTGGGTAGCCTTGAGAAGAATAGGAATTCCAGAAAATTATTGTGCTTTTGCGGAACCTGTATGTGGGCCAGGAGGCAGTTGTGTAAACAGAACAAGGGAATACTGCGTGGTTCAAAGTCAGGAAAGGTGTGCACCAGTTGTATCCTCTCACTGTACTTAATCAATCTGCATGCTGCAACAATAATCAGAGAAACTAGATTATATAAAGAAGAACTTGGTATCAGGATTGGAGGAAGGCTTATTAACACTCTCCAATATGCAGATGACACAACCTTACACCCTGAAAGTGAGAAGGACTTGAAGCACTTGCTGATGAAAATCAAGGCTGCAGCCTTCAGTATCGATTACACTTCAATGTGAATAAAAGAAAAATTCTTCACAACTGGACTAACAGCATTATAAACAGAAAAGATGGAAACTTGTCTTGCTTGGGTCCACAATCAATGCTCATGGAAGCAACGGTCAAGGGATCGAAAGATGTGTTGCATTAGGTAAATCTGCACAAGCCTTCTTCAAAGTGTTGAAGAGCAAACGTGACTTTGAGGATGGAAGTGTTTCTGGCCCAAGCCGTGGTATTTTCCATTACCTCATATGCATGTGAAAGTTGGACATTGAATAAGGAAGACCGAAGAAGAGTCGATGCATTTGAATCGTGGTCCTGGTGAAGAATACAGGAAGGGTTAGGGACTGCCAAGAGATCAAACAAATCTGTCTTGGAAGAAGTCCACCCAGAATGCTCTTCGGCAGTAAGGATGGTGAGGCTTTGTCTCACGTCCTTTGGACATGGTATCACGAGAGACCAATCCCTGGAAGAGGACATCATGTTTGGTAAAGCTGAGGGGTAGTGACAGAGGATGACCCACGGCAAGGGAGGTTGACACTGGCTGCAACAAGGAACTAAACCCAAGAGCGGTCGGTCATGAGGATGGTTGCAGGAGCAGGCAGCGGTTTCTTTTGGTGCACACGGGTCCCTGTGAGTCAGAACCCACAGGATGGCTCCCTGCGACCGCAACGGGCTCGTTCTGGGCAGACCCCCTTGTGAAAATGTGGGTCCCCACCCCACACGTGTTGAATCAGAATCTACTTTTAACGAGCTCCTCAGGTGAGTCTTAGGGATATATAAGAATCCTATTAAAATCTAGATTCTGGGAATCGATCCCAAGGATCTACATAATAACCTCCTCTAAGGGTGGGTGAAGGGAGATGCCGGGCAGTGTAAGATATGACAAAATAATTTATAAATTATTAAGGGTTCATGAGGGAGGGGGGAGCGGGGAGGGAGGGGGAGGAGAGAAAAATGAAAATGAGCTAATTCCAGGAACCCAAGAGGAAAGCGAATTTTGAGAATGATGAGGGCAACAAATATATGTGTGCTTTACACAGTTGATGTATGTATTGTGATGAACTGTGTGAGCCCCAATAAAATGATTTTTAAAAAATCTAGATTCTGATTTAGTGCTTCTAGGGTGGACATGCAAGTTCTTAGCAGGGGGGTGAACCAGAATGAACTGGTCCCAAACTCTGGTTCTTGCCCCTAAAATTGTTCCAATTGGCCAAGTAACAAAGTTTCACCCTTAATTGTAGGTCAACATTAGTTCTCAGAATCACACAGTGAAATGAATGTGGTCTTTCATATGAACGGACATTTGAAGACTCAGTCCAATGTTTTATGGTGTGCTTTTTGTTGCCATTGTTTCATTTCTCTGCGTTTTAAAGTAACATTAAAAGATACACTCTACTAGTCAAAAGATGATATATATGCCTGGAA